TGTACAATTGCTTTGGCACAGGCCACAGCATGCTTTGCGAAAAGCAGTTTTGATACCCTGCAGCACCAACTTGCTGTATTTTTATATCGAAGAGCATCGCTCGAAGAGGTAGGAACTAGTGACGAACGCACCTCAAGTTGTGTTATCTGATTGTGTGACGAATGGCGATATCTTAGGCCAAAACAGCCCGGAAACAGTCTAACCAACTGGAAATAGTGATAATAAGTTTGCTTAAAGGTAGCTATAAAAAAAAGCGTAAAAATGCTTGCACTTGAAATGTACAAATGAATCCTGGATGAGCTTAAGAAAATCGGTATTTCAGCTGGCAATTTAGTGTGCAAGGGTATTTCCGGATAGCTCTCCATTCTTTTTTCCGCAGTCTTCGCCATTTTCCGGTCCTGACTTTTCTCTTTTGCTGCACTTTTTTATGGCTTTTTTAGCTGCCGTTTTGGTCTCTCGCTTCTTTTTCCCGCCGCACTTGTGCTCCAGCTGAGCTTTGGTGATGAAGGGTGCAGCTTAAGAATGAATCATTTGACTTTTTCTTATTAAATAATTTATAAGAATTAGTTGAGATTTGCATTTTTTCCTTTTTTTTTTGCCAGCCAGCTAGTTGCACTCCGGTTTCGGTATCTTTTGCCCATCCAAGAACCCATCCACAGTAGTTGACTGTGCAAATTTCTATTTAATTCGAAATTTATTGCGAGCAATTTTCTTTTTGCCCGTATATTTTTGTTGGAATTTTCATTCGTGCTCGGTAGTACTGGCCTTAAAGTGCCCGGACTGCTACTTGGCTGCCTGGCGGGCAATTGAATTGCAGTTTTGTATCTTGAGCTGGCGACCGCAGTCGAAAGTTGTCGAAAAATTTCAGCTGCTGGTGTTTGTAGTTCAGGGTTAGCTGGCTGTTGCCGTTTTGCTTCATTAGCCATGCAGAGCGGAAATAACAATAATAAGAGCAAGAGCCAAAAACAAAATCCCTCTTAAATTGTATCCGAAATTGTTTTTTGCAGTTGGCCTGCGGGGGTTTTGTGCACCAAAACGGGAGAAATGCACGTTAATTTTCGCTTCCATTTGCATTTGCATTTCAGCTGACGAACTCTGGGAGGCTGGCCTTATATACAAATATATATCTATTTGTATGTACCAGTATGTATGCGAAAGGGGCGTGGCCAGCTGTTTTCGGTGGCACCATTTATATTTGATGTGGCCGCTTTTGTTGCATCTTAGGGCAGCTTAAGTTGCCATTAATGCCAGAGTGAGAGCTTGATGCACTTCAGCTGCTTTCAGTTTGCTAAGTGAGTTTTGCTGCGAGTTGAAGCGCAAACTCTTAAATTATTGTTGTTCCGAACAAAGGTCATCTTGAACAACTCTGTTGCTCTTTAAGCCGCCCAGTAATTAATTAACTTTGCTTGCTTAAGAAATTAAATACAAATAGCTTTGATATTTGTTTACCAAACTGGATTACACATCTCATTTTGCCTTAAACGTTGCTTAAAATTCCACTTTAATATTGCACACCCAACTATCGTATTTAAGCCAGGCTGGCCAAATTGTTTGCTCAAATCTGCTCATGTAAATTTTCAGGCTGGCCTGTCAATTTTCTCAAGTCGTATGTGTAATTGCTGTCTGAGCGTAATTAATGTCTGTGTGGATTTTCCATATTCTAATGATTGAAAAATATTTGAGCCTTCTACTACGGGTAGCACATAAATTAAGCCAGTTCATTATGCGGCCCGATTCTTATAGAGTTCTGAGCAAAGCAATTTGGCCTAAATGCACTTTGTTTCATTTCGGCATTATTGCTTTTCAATAGGCCGGGCAATATTTTTGCAATGAAATATAGGATATATACGATGTAAGGTGAATCGATTGGGCAATATTTGATAAATCTTTTGAGCACACACAACAGACGGGCAGTGGTTTATCCTGCTTACGCCCACTTAACAAACAAAAAGCAGAACTTTGGACAACTCGTAAGAATCATGGCCCATGGCTTGGGCAAAAACTGGCCAGATTGTTGCTGCGCTGGTGCTTTTGGCTTGCTTTCTATTCATTTCATTTCAATATGCATTTTATTTGCTGAAAATGTTTAATCGATTTTATGCAAATCATTGCCATTTCTTTCGGCCCGGCTTTGTAGTGTTGTGCCGTAGAGCTACTGCAAACACTTGAAAACCATTACAAAATAATAATAATAAAAATCTTGGCCAGCTCCTTGCCGCAAATAAATTATTTCTGATGGAAGTCCACAGAAAGTGGCTGAGTACTGGGCGGGTTGGGCGATGGCGATGGCAGAGGCAGAGGCATGCAAATGTATGCAAACAAAGAAAACTTCCTAATGGAATTTTCCACATGTCGGACATATGCATAAAACCTTCTAAACAAACCCGGTCCTCTGTCCTGCGGAGCTGTGGGCACTTTGCAGTGACCATTTTGTTTGAAAGCACTTCACACACGCACGTCAAAAACTGTGTCCTGCATCCAAAAAAAAAAAAAAAACCAAAAAAATTTTAAAACGAAAAACGAAAAAAAGAGCTTGAAAGCTGGAGAAAAAATTGGCAAGGATTTGGCTGTGCAAAAAGATGGCGTCAAGCTGTGCAATTTTGCCAGCGATTCGATTCGATTTCGTTTCGGCAATCCCTTTGGCCGTATCGTTTTGGCCATTGGGCCAAAAGGCGGGCCAAGTGCTGACCCACTCACACAGTGGCTCACTGCCTGACCCCTGACCCCTGACCCCCAGATATGTGTAAGTAATTTTCGTCGTTGTTGCTGCAAATCTGCTGTGGGTTATGCTGCATTGCGGTTTTGGTGCAACAAGCTAATGAGTTTGTGGTTGGCAGGACACCGAGCATAATTGCTTTTAATTGCAATCAGCAAATTATGCATACTTGTAGTTGTGGTCGTACGGCGCCAATGTTTTGAAAAATAGCCCCAAAAATGCGGAGCTCCTACTTGCAATGCGCATCCACATGGACTTAATTAAATTCCTTCTTGATTTAATCGCAATCCAATAGTAATTTGCATTTTTAATGCATCTCGACTTGCAAAAAGATTAATTGAAGATTTGTAAGGCGATATCTTAAGCACTTGTAAGCCAATTTATAAATACATAAAGCAAAGTTTACACCTGCAGTAATATTTCTTTTGTTCAACTAGACATTTCTGTGCATTAAACATAAGTCATGTGTGTTTTGAAAATGCATTTCCCACTTTATGCTGTCCTTTATTGACGACATTCATTGCGATCTTATCGAGGTCGTCTATAATTGGAATTCACTCAATCAAATTAGCCAAAAGCAATTATGCAGCTAATCAGGCCATGAGTGCGGCGACCTTTAAGCTGCAGAAAAACACCCAAATTGTTAGGGCCAGCCGTCGGCTGAATTGGCCAACTTTCGGCAAGTCGAACAATTGAAACAATGGGCCCAAACAATTTGCCACCCATCCGTTGTCAGTTGAGTTTTTAGCCATGCGATTTAGCCTTGCAGCGATTTACCCATAGAGTTTGAGTAATGGAACTTCAAAAACGCAGCCGCCGCAAAACATGAAACTAAAGCCGATTTTCTCTGTGTGTGTTCGTGGTGTGGGAAAGCGCATTGTAAGGGCAATTAAGGGGAACGAGCAAAACCACAATAGGATTATCAGTTTTGTGCCACAGCCAATAAAGAGCAATGAAAGATCAAAACGCATACATAGTCGTAGTTTGCTCATGCAAACAATTGGATGGTGAAAGGTGGCAAAGCTTCAATAAAACTGGTGGGATTGGAAACCCGAACTTGAAGATATCAGCGAAGTGCACTTCATCAGCTCAAGGCCATTGGCATTTCCAAGTGTAACAATACATTAAAGTGGCGCTGAGTTCTTTGTATGCATCCACTGACTTGGCATTCGATTTGCGCTTCTTGGACTCATTAATCGTCTTTCGATTCTTTTTCGCTCACTTGTAATTGCCACTCATTCATCATATTCAGCGTCAATTATTGCGGCGCTGCAGTTGCCTGAAATGCATCTATCTTCATTTGCATCAGCGCATTACATTTGCCGCAGCTGCCCCTTAGGATTGGGCGAAAAAAACGGGGCGTGGCAGGGCTAAAAAAGTCCTTAATGCTCCGAAGCTTAATCTGTTTTAATTGATTTATCGTATGGCGCCTCAACTGCAGACAATTAAATTACGCGGGTTCAGGAAGGGCAATAAATAAAAAAGAAACTATGAATTTTGCCATGTTTTGTTTGGCCTTTTGTTTGTATTGGGATCGCAGGCCAAATCAATTGCATTTGTATTATTGTTTTAATGCTGCAGCTAAAAATTTATGAAGGCAGGATAATGGTGGAACAAAGGTAAACAAAAAGTTATTCAAACATTTGCAGTGAAATCTGGAAAAGCCTCAAATAAGACCGAGCAATAAGTGCTGAAAAAATACGTGAAATCGATTTCATTTTGTTTCCTGATTGCTGCATGTTAATTGTGTTGCTTTTTGCGAAAATATTTTGATTATGCCTGTCGAATGGTTTGCTTTTCACACTTTTCACGCTTTTCCCCGCTTTTCCCCGCTTGTCCCCGCTTTTCCCGCTTTTACAGCATTTGCCCGGGCTTTGCTGTTGTTTAAACAAAAAGTGTTTTTCGTTCTTTGCATTCTGCCGCCCTGACATCCTGGGGCATTGACATTTGCATGTGTGATGGAGTCTGTTTGCTCGATTTTCCGCCGAACTCTCCAACTGGATGGAGTGTGTGTTTGTTGTGTGTGGCAAACATAAATACACACCTGCACACGTTCGCACAACAAGCCAGTGCTTAGTTCATAAACGTTGACAATTAATTGAGCAAAATGCCAGCCATTCAACTAATTGGAACAGCTCAATGCCAATGCGAATGCGACTGCGAATGGGAATGGGAAACCAAAGCCCAAAACAGGACTATAGGGCTAATGAAATTATGTGTGGCAATTATATGGCACCCAAGGGTGTGTTTTGAGCCAATAAAACGATATGGGCCCACGATAAAGTGCTCTCTTTCGGCTTATTTATTTAACGATTTCTTTTCCAAGGCCTCGTGGCAGCAGTCCATCATCTGTCCAGGCTTTAGGTACTCCAGGGAGGGCACGAAGCGATCGCCAGCGATGATGATGCACTGCAAGTACTCGTTGAACACCTTAAATGTTAGGTAACTCCAGTTGGAACACTCGTATCGGTGGTGATGCCGAGTGTCCGCATTGAAGACCCACTGGCGCTCGAGGGGCTTCATCATCTGGAGCGGCTCCTTCAGCGGCGATGTGGGATCCAAGAAGTTGTGCGTTATGGAAAAGGACAGGCCCAGATCGATCATCGATTTCACCTCCGGAATATCCAACAACTCCTGGAACTGCTCATCGGATTGTGGAGTTTTCAAAACAGTAATATACCAGGCAGGCATCAGATTGAAGCGTATGGCCTGCATTATAGTCACCGCCGACTTCTTTCGATTTGGCCAGTTGTAGAACAACCACCGGACACCACTCATGAACATCTCCATTTCGGAGTTCACACACATATTTATGTGGCTCAGCATCTGGTAGACGTGCTCCGGCTCCAGATCGAGATACTCCTGCGTGGCGACGACCATCAGGAAGTAGTTATGGATGCGACCCAACATCAGATCCTGCAACACGCTCGCCTTGAAGGGCAAAGCCTCTAAAAATATCTTGAAGGCTTCGAGTCCATTGAGCAGCTTGGGATTGTCCAGTCGACTCCATATGTGTGACTTCAGTTCCGTCATGTGCAGGTAAGTGGCGGTCAAGTAGACCTCCACAATGTGTTGCCGCGGCAGCTTGGCGTCGTTGTGGCTAATCCAGTCGTAGGCAATCTCAAAACCCACCGGAGTGACCACGTCCGTGCTTAAGCTGACTACATCCATGCGATGGAATGGCATAAAAAAGTTGGAGCACTCCTGCAGGAGCGGTAAGTGGCAATGGAAGGTTCGATCGCCCACAAGCACCGTCAGATCGGTGCATTTCCTGTTCTCCAGCAGATCGGTTAATCCATCGACCATGTACTTTCTGCTGCAAGCGAACTTAAAGCAAATATCTTCCTTCGCTTCCGCGAAGCCCATCTGCTTCAGGCTGCATTCAGGTAGCTCTTCGAAGGATTCGTCTTCGCTTTTTGTAATGCACTTGATAATCTGTTCTCTGGTTTCCTTTTCCCTGAGCAAACAAAACATTTGAGGCTTACATTTATTAGCGGGTAAACTACGGATAACCCACATGCATAAATCCAGCTCATATTCCTCGTCATGGCTACTCGACGGCTCGTACACGGAACTGCTGGATAGGCTTGGCAAACTCATGGCAACGATTTGAATTTTGGTAACAAAGATAGATGTGTGTTTAGCGAAAAACACAAAATGGAAACTCAAGGCCCACTGATGTTTTGGCACTCGATTTGCGGCACTAAAATGATCATTTGCGGCGGGCAAATGCCGCAAGTAGTAGACCACACTTAAACTACATTTAAGGCTGGCACTGGCGCCCTGGGATTTGCGATTCTAATGCAAGCTACCTGGGCAACTTTACCTTTTAAGTGGCCGGAGCTCAAGGGCTTAGCCCGGGTGCCTTTCGAGTGGGCCTGTTTATCTATGCCCGTACAGTTGGGAGTGAGCCTCCCATAGCCCGGTATTCCGCTTTCACCTCGGGCCTCATATCGGAGCTGCCGCAAATGCCAGTCATTACATGCAACGATTGTGAGTTGGCCAAGATTGTATGTGCCAGCAACAAACAGACAGGGTCCAGACTGACGGGGCGGAGAATTGCCCGAGAAGTTGGTCGTCGGTGCCAGCAGCAGGAAAATTGAGCTTAAGTTGCAATTAAGCAATTGCCGGCCCGCTAGGACTGGCATTCGGTTGCTGATGCTGCCGATGCTGCCGTTGCTCCCCTGTTGGCCACTCCCGGCACTGTTGGCCCGGCTAATAGCGGCAAGCAAACTCAAGTGGCTGCTAACTTGGCTTTCGAATGCGGCAGAGCAATGGACTGGCGGCGATCAAGCCCCAGTTGCAAATAATGCAAAATTGCAATGAAATGCGGCCAGCTGCATGGGGTAAACTTTGCTTAGGGAATCCTGCCACCTGCCACCTGCCGCATGCCGCATGCTACCAGCTCGCTCTCGTTCTTTTCTATTTATGTGCAGTTGCTTTCCAATCACCAGCCAGCAAACTTAATACAATATTTAAGCCGCAAACGTAGCACAATGTAAACCAAAGTAATCTCGAACTCAGCTCGGGCTGTGCAGCAAGCAGCTCGGTTTGGCTTTCCTGTGGCAAGTGGCACGACTTGCGGCCAACTGCAGCCAAGACTGGAGAGCTGGCGGTGCGGGAGGTTCGACGAAAGAATAAGAACAGAAAACAATTCCTGCACTGAGGCAACTTCGCGTTTTTTAAGTGGAAAACTTTGGCCCTCACATTTGGCCATGGGGCATGCTCGTTGCAATGAAGCTTAAAGTGTGCCTCAAATGTGACCGGCGAATTTTCCAGAAATGCCGCTGACTGGCTGGCCTACAGAGGCATCAAATCAAATAAATCAAACATAAAACATCAATATGAAAATGATTTTACCATTCCAAGTCATAAGTTCATAATATTTCTAAAATTGCCTACAACTACCAATGGCATGCAGCAGAAAATATAGCCTCAGTGCACATTTCTATGCCAGCCTTTTTTAAAATTCTGCAGGCTTTAAAATATTTACCCATTTTGCATAATTAGTTGCCCCAGAAATTTATGCCGGCGCAGCCAGCAGCAGGATTCAGTTCGATTGATTTTAATGCGCGGTCTGCAGGACCATAAACTGAAGAGGATTGTCGGCTGATGCTGCTGTCCAATGAATTTCAAATTACCAATAAACAATTGAATGAGCAGCGAAAATATAAGCACGCACACACGCATACAAATGCTAATCAGCGATGCTTTATGATTTTCGGTGTATTTGCGTTGCTCATACGCAGTGTGGGCCGCATCGCTAATCCCGGCACGCAGCGTCAATAAGTCAAACACGTCAATGGCAAGCAGTGGAAATCCTGGGGAGCAGGAGTCGCAGGACTCGCAGGATTCGCAGGAGTCGAAGGACTCGCAGCAGTGCTGCCGGCAGTAAAAGCAGACACAAAGGCAACAATTTATTGTTGCTCAATGTCGCATTTATCATCACTTTATGCTACTTAATCGAGCCTTCGTCCCCGATCCTGTGAGCTCGATTTCCGCCATCGAAGATGATTTCAATGTTTACTCTCGTCTCATCCTGGCCATTGTTTGCTTATTGTTTTTCGACACACATCCGCACACACACAGAGCCATAGAGCACTTTGCAGCGTCTTTTTATGGTTTATGGCGCCATTGAATTTTTCGTTTGTTTTCTTATTAAATTATAATTTATATGTATAGTCGCATCAGCCAGCGCCAAGGACATGGCACTTTGTCAATTGTTTAATAGAAAACAAAGGAGATACGACTCCTGGAAACACTAAGAAACTTTTCGGGGCCAGGACACATTGCCTTGTTATTTATATATGCGCACGGCGTACTCAATTACGACTTCGAATGGCAAACAACTTTCTCGGATTTTCGTGGGCACGTGAGTTGCTCTGCTTGTTTGCAGGTCACAACGTGATGAAAAGTGCGATAGTATTATATTAAAGATGGCAGATTTCGCATGGCCGTGAATCACTTTCGATGGCGTAGAGATACAACTACAAAAGGGGCAATAGTCGGGTCAGCTTCTACAAAACGCTCCAGTTGTAGCCACACATAGAAAAATGTAACTGCTACCTTAATAAATATTCGGTCTGAACAGTCTTATCATCTCGGTGGAGCATTCAGCATTTTCAGAAATTTATGTGACACGAGCAACAAAGTCGATAGTTACCTACATGTAGCCAACGATGCGGTCGAAATATTCAAAATAGTGTACACTGCTAATCCAGTTGAATAATGCAGCAGCTGCAATAAAAGGCTAATGCGGACTGCATCGGTTTAGGAAATATTTCCAAAACTATTTCAACTTCATTAAATACTTGCGTATACTAGCTAATGCACACGACTGCAAAATGGCAAATATAAATGCCAACTGGCAAAAGAATTCGCATAATTAATTGCACGGCACAGTTTGTTTATAGATTTTATTTTGGTTTTGCGCATTTAACAGGGAGGTATATGCATCATAAAAAAACAATTCACATCGCAATCGCATTCATTAAATTTGAATATAACATTTAAGCATATTTGAAACATTCTCTGCATATGATTCATTGGTTTGATAGCCCAAAGTTGAAATAGGAAATTAAATTGCCGCTGGGTTTCAGCTAATTTGCACCCCGACAATATCATTGGGCAAAAATAAACAACAGCTGGTGCTTTTTCCACATCGAGCCACTGCCGCATATAATAACAACACAAAAAATACACGAAGAGTCCAAAATTGGACTAGACCATAAACTCACTATTGAACATACCTGGCATATATATTATTTATAAGTTGGTAAATTACCAGGGGATCTGACCCTTAATTAATACTGACCAGAACACGAAATGAATTTTGCATACCTCTTGCATGGCATCAGACAAAAATCGCAATGGAGGGCATTTTTCTAACTGGTAAATATTTGCGAAATCAATTCAATTTCGCGCATGAAATTATATGGCTTTTACAAATATTTTAATTAACTGCCAAACGTAATAATTGCCAAATGAGTTCGGCCAAAAACATTTTGGCCATGACAGCTGCTGCCGGGAAGTTTAGCATTTTTATTTTAATTAAATCCACGTCGCTGGCTGCCGGTGGTTAACCCACAAAAAGATAAGCCCCAAGCTGGCGCTGACATTAATCATTTTACCTTTCAAATGCATTCTCATTAGGAGCCCGCCAAATTGAAACTTGGCCCGATGCAAAGGGAATCGGAACTCTGAGCTTTCCCCGGGGGCTGCGGCTCATTAATAACCAACAAGATGGCATAATTCTTTGTCTTCGCCCGATATATATTTATACATATATATATGTATCCTTTTATTCTTGGCTTTGCCTTTCCGTCGCTTCGGGCGTTTCCATGGAAAATAAAGATGAGGAGCCCGCCGAGATGTAACTGTATTTAGACGGAGTGTACCAGAGATGTGCTAAGCTCAGGCCAGATAAATATTGACCAACTAACGACTGACTTAGCCGCATCGCAACTTTTCCAATTAAATCTGGCAAAAGTTCGTTCGTTGCTGCTGCTACTGCTGCTGCGTCTAGTAAACAAGCAAAGTTCTAATGAGTTTATTAATCAGCGATAAATTTGGCCAGCATATGCAGGCCAAAGACTCCTGGCCAAGTTGTCATAATTTCTAATCAGAGTGGAGTGTCCGATGTTTTTTGCGGATCAGCTGCTAAGTCAACATCTGCCTTAAGGCCAAGGACGAAAGCCATATACCGAACCATATACCGAATGGGCTGGCCTCTAAGGCTAATTAATGTGTAAAGTGTCAATTAATCAATCAGTCCGCCGATCAATCCTGTCCAAACCCGCCGCTTTTCCCTTTTCGGCCATGAGACACGAGTGTATTGACAGGATAAACTCAACAAGCTGTCGGTGCTGGCCAAGCCAAACAAATAGCTGGCGACAAAGGCTCCACGGGCGACGACATCGCAAAAATAAGCGCAGCGCTTGTGGTTTGGGCTGGAGGAGTGTGAAAAAAGCAGGGAAATTGTATTAAACAGCGGCGGAAAACGGAGCCAAATAGCTCATTTAATCAGTCGTTTCCTGGCAACCGTCCTTCGACCCCCAAAAGCCCAAAAGTGGGAGTGTCGTGGTGCAGGGCAAAAGGCAAATGCCAGCTAATTATTATGACAAATATCAAACATCCGGTCGGCTGAGGGCGCGACAATTCTGTGTCAAAGGCTTAAAAGCTTAATGAAATGAATTGAATACGTTCCAATTAATGGCACATAAAGTGATCTAATGTAGGCACACAGGCGATTTTCGATAGATTTCATTAACATGAAATTTAGATTGTATTTGAATATCAAAAGTCATACACTGCGAACTTAGTTACATCAAAAGTCATACACTGCGAACTTAGTTACATCAAAAGTCATACACTGCGAACTTAGTTACATCAAAAGTCATACACCGCGAACTTAGTTACATCAAAAGTCATACACTGCGAACTTAGTTACATCAAAAGTCATACACTGCTAATTTAGCTACACGTTCCAAAAACATACTAGGCCTCTGTTTCTTCGGGTGCCAAAGTGTTTCGCGAAGTCCTAGCCCTCTTTGGTCCTGGCTTTTCCATCGTCGTGTCGCACAGGAAGATCTTAGCCAAACAAATACCTGCCAGTAGCATGAAGTTCACAGCATGGGTTAGTAAGATCTGGTCCAAACACATGCGAACCATATACCAAGCTCCCCGATTATGCACAAAGTAATACTTGTAGAGGCCCATGGTATCGCTGACCAGGAAAACGCAGATTAGGATTGATCTGGTGTTTGCCCGCACAAATGGCACCATGGCATATAGCGCGCATATGCAAATCAGGGAAGGCAGTAAGATCTTCAGCATGACAAGGCTGCCGGCTATGTAAAGGGAAAAATGAGGATAAAACAGCCGAGCGGTTGTTGATTTGAACAAGAACGAGGATAGCCAGTGTCCAGCCAGGATGAAGGCCACTAAGAAGTAAAGAAGAATCATGTATCCAAAGCGATAGCAGCCCTTTAAGTAATTTCGGCCCTTAAGCGATTTCGGCTCGTCTTCACGTTCTTTGGTGGGCTTGGATTCCTCGTAGAGCTCAAGGCCGAATATAAATTCAGTTATCACGATTTGGGCATTCAAGCAGCTCCAAGAATTGGTCAGCAGACTGAGAACAGTAATGATGTTGATGGTAATAAGTTGCAATCTTTTTCTGGCCTCTGGCAGAGATTTGGCAAAGTACACAATCGAGAAAAAGGCAAATAAAAGAAACGACCAAGTGACGGCATAAACATAGGACGATACGGGTATATTGGCCTTATATTGATAAACTCCATAAGCTCCGACTATCATAGCCACTGAATTGACGATCCAGACTCGGGGATCATGTCGATGTCCCAAGATCAAAGGACGAATAATAGCCAGCACCATGCTTATATAAAGGACATAGACACCTTTCAGGGGTATATTCAGTAGTCCCCAATAAATGCGTTGCTCCACATACAACATGGCAGCTAATAATAAAACCAGGGAAAGCCAAATGAATAATTTCACGGAGGGCCTTCGCAGGGCTCTGCGGTTGTTAAGGAGTACGGAAATTCCATATAGAATCCATAGGTGCCTGTAAATGAAGGCCATCAACATTATTGACACAGCGGGCAGTAATATAAAGCCAAAGTGCCATATCGGATGCGATATCCAATATCCTTTCACGGGACGTTCAGCCTGAGCCATGATCAACATGCCAACGGGTAGAATCAAATAAAATGCTGTGATATGCGGCACATTTTGCAGTTCCAGCGTGATAGTGAGTAGAATACCGATCATGATCAATATCAGGGTGGAGAAAGTCATAAATCCCCTTCTGTGTACCTTTTCCTTTTTGGACAATCTCGTCAGTTGTAGCAGCAGGCAGTAGAACCAAATCAAGTAGGACAATGAGGTGGACACAATCAAAGGGGTGCGATAATATTCATGGTAGTATGCCAAGCATTTCTTCGCCAGTTTTCCGAATTCCTGACATATCTCCATCGCCTCGGTTAAATTCCCCCGTGCTTTCAGGAAATCAAACTGCGCCGCATACTGATCAATTAGTTCTAAGTGCAGTTGATTAAACTTTGGCAGCCACTTGTAAAACAACGCACTTTCATGGCGCCTTATAAGAATTTCAGCTTGCGACAAAAGTTGCAAGACGTTCAGATGCAAAGCCACCGCCTGGTACTCATCACTCACGTTGAGATAGCCCACTGGCATTAGGGCTAGATTATTCATGGGAGGTGGAAGTCCAATTAAAGCCGACATCAGTGACGCCAGTTGGGTCTGATCCACCTGGGAGATATTGGGTTTCTTGGGGAAGTTGGCATCAATATCGATTTCCTCTCGCTTTACGCCAGCTCCCCACATAAACAGGGGTGTTTCTACTTCGAGGGATCTACCACTGCCATGGGTTCCTGGAAAATATGATTAAAATACCATTTGATACTTACATAGCCACACCCACCTTCATTACTCATGCCATGATCGGAGGTCAACAGATAAGCAGTTTTGCTGTCATTAAAGACGCGTTCGAAGAGCTCATAGGTATTCCTAATACCACGCTGTGTATACTGAAGCTTTTTGAAGAACTCCTTGGTCAGTGGCCCGAACCGATGAGCAGCTATATCCATGTCGGCCAAATAGACCAGGAGCACGGCCGGCTTGTGATTGCGCCACTCTCGAACATTGTCGCTGTTGTTGAAGAAATGGGCAACCTTATTGAAGACCCACTTGTCGCATGTGAGCTTCTCCGGCAGATCTCTTTCCCTAAACGTATAAAATCTTAATGGAGCACCACCGTGTGTTAGGTCCATGAAGTAACCGGCAATATTGCTGTGAGCCCAGCCGATCATATTCCTGCTGCGATTGAAGACGGTATCGAAATCACTGGGATTGTAGCGATAGTTGACCAAAGCAGCTGCTGGATCCTCATTGAAGCCGCCGAATATGGCTATGTGTCCAGGTCGTGTCATCGTCGGCGCACAAGAGCGGGATATTCCAATGCGACCTTGGTTCCGGTATATGTCCTTCAGATCCGGCACATCGCTGCCATTGTTCGCCAGAAAGGTGGCCGCTCGCAAGCCATCCGTAACAAAGACCACCAATCGATCCGCCGGCGGCTTCAGTCCCATGTCGAGCATCGTCTTCTGCGGCACGAGGTTGGGCAGTAAAGTGGGCTGGAAGTATGTGCTCAAAATGGAGCCCATCAACAAGATGTGCACAACAAGTGCCTGAAGTTTCCACATTTTGGAAGAAGCAACTTGGAAAATAAAAGCGAATTGCTAAACTAACTCAGTTGAAGTGTGACGTATTAATCAAGGAAAAGTTGGAGGAAAATGTTCCAGGCCGAATTCTTGGGGTGTTTTGATTATTTTTGGGTACCCACTTGATTCCAGCAATTCCGGCAAAAAATCAAGCATACGCAGAGTTGTCACACGGTAACCATATAAGCGAAATTATAATATGCCTGCATTATTTAATCGCTTTATAGATAATCACGAAATGCGCCCAGTAAATGAACAGCCCTGTGGCCTTGCCCATCATCACTTAGTTGTGCTTTTTCTGCCACTAACTGGCACGGCTAGGACTCTTTTTATGGACGCCATAACTCTGCGGCCTTGTCAAGCAATTTCAATTTGCCGCTTGATTTGTGAGCTGCCTTGGGCGCCAAATGCTGCATGTTGCCGCCTTGATTTACGCGCCTGCAATTTAAATGAGCTGCAAATTGCTGCAACGCCAGCGAATCCGTGAGTCCGGCAGCTTATGTCTTTAAGCGTTTTGTCAATCTGGGCGAGGCCGCGAGTATTAATTGCCTGGTATAAATCGTGGCTTTTGTTACTTTTTGCGCGTCTGCTGCTTTTGTCGCTTGACTAATTCGCGTAGACAATTCAGGTGCCCAAAGATGTACTTTTGATGCTCATTTCGCTGAAATGCTAGTCAGACCAGAAGGCTTAAAGCCCAGCCATTTGTCAGGCCAATGCGAGTTGTGCTCTGACAGTTGTAAGCCAGTCGACAAATAGCTGGCCGGATGACTGAATGGCCAGCTAACAGTTTCGTCTGGCAATTAAAGGCCTGTTTTGCGTCTGCCAATGGGCTAATTTAACAGCGAACAAGAGTTGGGCGTTTTATGGCCAGCAGTCGCGTGTTGGTAGCGATTGAGAAACGCTATTGAGTAATTGGCAGAGCAGCATCGTTGTTCGCAAAGAGATGGCGAGCCAAACCCAGTCGCTTTCTCTTCGGGCCATGGCCCAAAGCGCAGGCGCTCTCTTAGCCAACTGCTCGTACTACCCATCGGTTTTGGGTCAGCAACATGTTGGCCAACGACGGGCAGCGAAAGTGGGTTATTGTGGTAAGTGGGTCGGCTCCTGCCTGCGACCCGTGGGCCGCAAATGAAACGAATTGTGGCACAGCATTTGGCAACATTTGTTGCCACACTGACCGGCACTTGCAGCAGCAGCATGACGATGGCATCACCGGGCAGCGAATAAAATGCCAAATGTTTGCGGCTTAAGGCTGTTGAACTCGACCGGCTTTCGTTTGGGGCTATTTGCCCCAAGCCCAACCAAGTCAAGGGCTCTCCACATTGCATTTGTGCCCGGAGTGTCCAGTCAATGAATTGGGAATTAATCTAGATAAATATTAGCAGTTCGGAAGCGGAGAAAATATGCATTGTGGTTACAGGTCAAATTGATAGGTTTTTGTCTTTAAACAATATTGCTTAGCTTAAGAAATGAGTTATGGGGAACTTAAGAAACTTGTAAAAGTATCTGACAGTGTGCCCAAATGTATTTCACATCGAAATACAAATTTATTTTAAAGCCAAACGTGAAATATTCTGCAATCCCTGCTTTTCTCTCTGTGCATCACTCATATTCGTAAACACTTGAATACGTCAGTCAGCTCAAAAAATATTGATAATTGCTTAGCCCAGCACTTCAAATGCAATTTCAAGCAAATCAATTACGCCAGCCGGCGCTCCGCTGAATTCCCGAAATGTGTGTGGGCGTTTGAAGAGCTAAACCCATTTAAATTCAGCTGCGTTTTGTGTTGACAAAACTTATCAACAATTCAATTTCAATAAAAAGTCGTGGGTTCTGGCCCGCTTCGCATATTGTTCGATGCATTTTTTAGCACGAAATATTAGGGTCTGTGTGAGCAGGTGCGCGGACTTGGGGGGATCGTTAGATAGCGAGATATGCTATGTTCTGACAACTCCCCTTGAGTTACTACGCCCTTGGGCAGCCCTGTGTGTGTGTGTGTGTGAGCTGAATTTTGGCATTTGAATTGTCACATCTGGTTCATGGCTTCGAACTCATCCATCAAATGCAGCCCGGCTGCTCCATGGCTTCCCACATAGCACCCCACCCCTCGCCATAACCACCGCTCATCCTGTCATCCTGCATGCCAATGCAATCATTTTTATTGTGTGTGCGCCTGTGTGCGTGTCTCGCTGCGGCCGTGCGTGTGTTGGTGTATCTGTGAAATAGCGCGCATAGCCACAGCGACAAAACCAATACACGGCCAGAGGCGAACCTCCATTTTTTCTTACCCCAAAACACACATGAGCACACAAAGATACACATGCAACTGCCTAACGAGAGCCTGACAATGCGATTTTCTACGCCAGAGTATCTGTGTGTGCGGTGTGCTGTGTGTGCGTGTGTGTGTGTGTGTGTGCAGGCAAGCGGCCATTGAAAGGCAAACACAATGAGAATATAATTTACGAGTCCGACCAAAATGCAGCTTTTTAATGGTTGACCTTTGTCACGAAATTGCATTGCCAGTAACACGCTTATTGGAACCACAAGCAATCAAGCTCGGAAATTTCCTAAAACCTAAAAAATCAGTGCCTACTTTAATTACTCCAGAACATTCCCTCTGAAGCAAAATGTATTTGCTATTTTTGGCTGCCCAGCCTGTGCTAAGCCTAAACTTACCAACAGAAAGGGTCAAGTCGGTTCAGCCGGCAAAGCGCCATAAATAAAGTTGTATAAACTGTTTGCACAATCAGTTTTCTTGCTCAAAAATCTGTGCAGACCGACATTCGACCGATATCTTGCGTGCGTTGGCTTCTGCCCATGTGCATCGATTTAGCCATTATTCTAACAAGCTCTTAACAATCTAACGACGAGACAGCAAGCCTTTACATAACAATCAGCCGGCCCAAAGTCTCGTTAAAGCCAGGAGAGAAGCAGAAGCTTACTTGACACTCGGCCCTCAAGTAGGTCAACAATTCGATGATGATTTTTTGGTAACAATGCCGGCGCTGGCCTTTAAATTTTAAAGTTTAAATCCGACCAAAGCCAACGGCAAGTGCATTGCAAACTGTGTGCGTTTGGTGTGAGGTCAGTTTCTGGCTTTGGTTTTTCAATAAAAGCAGATTTATGCATTGTGCAATGCCGAATTAAATGCGCTTTTGTTGCAGAATCACAAAACACCGAGAGGGCCATGCAAATTGTTGAACAAAAATGTAGCAGCACTCAATTGAGTTTAATTGCTGGCTGTGCTTGCTGCAGCAACGCAACCAAAAACGTTCAAACAGGAAAATCGTGTCCTTTCAGATATTTATTTGACATACCAAACTAAAAATTAAATAAATAATTTTTTAGCCCACGAACTAGGTTTCCTTTATGAACTCCGCTTGCTTTTATCTATTGTGTCTGCGTGTTTGTGCGCATTTAATTCGCAGTAATACCACTTGGCGTATCTTTTTGGGCGAACTTATTTGCAAATTTAATTGGTTATTTCGCATAAACAAGTCGCGAAAGTTTGCCGAAATATGTCTTCTTCTATTTTGCTCAGGAGCTTGTCAAGCCTTTGAGCGGCAAAATTAAATAGCAAAGCAAAGTGCACTGCTTGCTTTTAACATTCCTTCTCCCTTTTCGATATATAGTACTTTTTTTTATATTTTTTGCACTCTTTTTATTTATTTTTTTTGCAGCTGCAGCTGCAGCAAACATGCCGTGGCTGCAGAGCCATAAGGCACAGCTTCCTCTTTTGGCCTGTCAGTGGCATGTGCGGAGACACGCCCCCGTCGCCGTCGCCGCCCCTGACCCCCAGCAGCCCCGTGTGGCATGTGCAAAAGTAAAAACGAAGTTGGGCAAAACTTTTTAATATGCTTGCGAAATTTTATCAAAACTACAAAATTGCAGTAAAGTGCCAAGTGCCCGGGAACTGGGAACTGGGAACTGAAAACTGGGAGCTGCAGGAGCCACGTCACCGAAAACCTAGGCGCTGCACTTCAAATAAACTCCAGATCCATTCTAAAATGTGCCACTTTACAGTTGACATTCTATACATAGAACTTACAAAATAAATATGCAGAGAATGAGACAAGTTTGCACTTCTGATTAATATTTAAGCTCAGTTCTTGCAAAGCAGCCATTAGTATTGGCTTAGAAACTCCTTAGTTAATATCTGATCTGAAAACCTAAAATATTATTCTCTGTGCTCTGGCTTTGGTGTTGCCACTGCTGATTTTGGCTCTGGCAAAAGGACGACGAGGCAGTCAAGCTCATGGAGTTGGCCAAACAAAACACAGTCAAGCGAAACCTTCAACTCAATTTGGCAATCGCATTTCTTGCTCTACTTCCGCCTATTCAACTTGACTCGATTTGCGTGCCGGCGACCGTCGCCCTTTGCCCCTCCCACCCCTTTTTTTTAGCCTTCTATGTGCGAGTGCCACTGCCCCAACTGCCCCAACTTGCGGCAGCCACACACCCATGCTCCTGCGACCGCCTTTATGTGTGTTTAAGTGGCAATGCAAATGGCAACATTTTGGCGAGCACTTCACTCTTTGCCACTGACAGTAACATGACATCTTTCTCCCTTTTTTTGTTGCCAACTTTTTGTGCTAAATTTAATTGCAATGAAAATGTTCACTGCACTTTCGCAAAAGCCAGTCGTTGGGGCTACATATTGGGGATCCTGTGTATATGTGTGCCACCAGTGTACCCAGTGTACCCAGTGTATGGGTGGCTAGAGATGGCGTGGCTGATTAATTGTGCAAATTAATTTTGCATTTGCATGCCAAATGAAGAACTTGCAATGGCTGGAAAATCGTCAAGTGAGTGTTCCCAAGTCAAAGGAATGATAGCGATAAAGAGCGGTAGTGGATGTGTGAAAAGCAAATGCCATTTTTGTGATGCTCTCAAAACTTTTCACCCCGTAATTTGATTCATGTAGTGATACGTCAGCTTAACTTTAAGGTCCCTGCGCCATACAAACAATTTCAAATCGAATGCATTTAAAGTAAAGTTGTTATGCTTC